CTTCTTTTTCTTTTATCCCTGGGCTGTCATATATTAACAGAATTACTTATGAATTTATTGAAGTTTATGTGTCAGGCATTTAACAGAACATTAGCTTACTTAATTCTCGGAATAACCAAAGGAAGAAGTTGATATTATTACATCTGCCTTTTTAGTTGAGGAGTATGAAATTTAAAAAGCTTAAGTAGTTTTCCTAAGTTAGTATTGATCAAGTTATGAATAAATGTTTGATTATTACTTTATGATAGCCAGTAGTAATAGGGTTATAAAGTTGAGGTCAAACCATTCATTTTAGATTTTAGAAACATTTTTTGTGTAGACTAAGGTGTCATGGATCTGCATGTCTAACATAGAGCACATACCTGGCACTAGTAAACCATCGATAAATATATATTTATGAATGAATATGACTTATTTTTACAATATAGGTCACCTTTTTTCTATTATGAAACATTTGAGTAAAATGTTATAGAACTTAACTGGTTTTATAGAAATCATGTTTAAATTAAAAATTGATAGGTATTTTTTTAGTAGAGAAATTGTAAGAAAATTATATTCATTTGCAGCTTTCCATTTCAGTCACTCAGTACAAATGAATCTGAGTAACTTGTATGCATATTAACTAAACAAAAAGGCAAATAGAACATGATGTGATATTGGTTTATTTTTAAATCTTAAATTGGAGCAATTTATTTAATTTCAAATGTTTCAGCAGGGAATACGCGATAATAAGGGCTTCTCAGGTTGTCCTAGTGGTAAAGGACGCGACTGCCAATACAGGAGACCTGGGTTCGATCCCTGGGTTGGGATGATTCCCCCGGAAGACAGCATGGCAACCAACTCCAGTATTCTTGGAGAATCCCATAGACAGAGGAGACTGGCAGGCTACAAGCTATAGGGTCACAAAGAGTTCCACATGAGTGAAGAGACTTAGCATGTATGCATGGGATAAAAAACAAAAATTTGGTTAGAGTTAGATATCCACTAAAATCAAGCATTTAAGTGAGATGTCTTAAGTGTCTTTAAGTGTCTTAAATATTAAGGCCCAGTCACAAAGCATTAAATTTGATCACTAGAAAATTTGAAAGTAAATGAATGTTTACTATTATCCACCAGCTACGATTGTCCTACTTCTATTTTCAATTCAGGACATAATTTAAGTAGTTTAACTCAGGCTTTGACTAATGGAAAAGATGTATCTCTTTTATAAGGAGACAAAATAGGATATTTCAATTATGAATGTGCTATATTTAAGCACATTCTTGGATTTACTTTATCACAAAATCTGAGCCCATCATTAAAATCACTTCTGGGTACACACACAAAATAATAATTAACTGAAATTCATCAATTATGATGAGGGAGAAGAGGCAGTTTTCATTTAATAATGGCTCAAAAGACATCTGTGAATGAAATAAGATAGCTATCTATATTAAAATGGATTATAGTCACTGAATAGCTTCAAATCCTTATGTAGCACATTGTAGCATTCACAGTGCTAGGAAAAAGAGCTAACATATAAGTGAAATATTAATGTTTATGCATAATGCAATAAAAGGGTATTTCAAAGCTTAAAAACTGTCTTAACATCAAGAATTATATAATAAAGTAACAGTAAACTGTCTATGTATCTACCTGTCCTGAAGGTTCCCTTTTGCATTCATTCCCTCAACAAAAGTAGTTGAATTATTGTTTAGATAGTAATCTATGTGAATATAAAAATATTTTTGTTTGTAGAGTAATATGAGAAGTAAGTAATAGAAGAGTATTATAAGTTTTCATATTTCTTTAAAACATTGCCTATAACCAAAATAGTATGTAATAAGTTGTCAGATACTCTTAACATTCTCCACATGTTGCATATAGGTGCTCTAGAGCTTGTATCAGACAGTGATTCTGTGTCCATATAATGTGATTAGACTGTCTGCTCCTGACCCCTGCCTTTTTGTTAAACTTCCCCATGTATTAGTATTTACTTTTGTAAAATAAAAACATGCAACAAGTAATTTCAAAGTACTTTTTAAATCTAATTTTGATAATTCTAGAAGAGATTTGAAAGACCTTTTGCTTAAATAATATGAAGATCCTAACTCTGAAATTGTTAGCTCAAATTCTGCAAAATCCCCTTCTAAACTATTTCTACCCTTCAAATAATATGATTTTTTATATAAATATTACAGAACATAAGGGAAATAGCTATTTTCAGAACTTAATGTGAAAGTGAATTCCAAAACAAAGTTAAGATTAAGTGTTTTGTAGGCAAATCTCTCTCTAATATTTGAGAGTAATTTGTTTCTTCTATAAAAGATAAGCTGGATACTTTTGTTATTATGACGGTTATATGAGTAACCTGATTGACTTGACTTAGTATTAATGCATGCAAAGTTCACTAACAGTGACCTGAATGGGATTTCAAGAAAAGCTTTTGATTAGAAATAATGAAATATAGCCAATTTAATTTATAAATTTTTAATTATGCAATTTGCTTGCATATTACCCAAACGGAATGTGTTTCAATAAGTCAGTGCACTTCAAATTTCCAAATTTTGTATTTATCATGTTAAGCAATATTAACTGAACAAATGCTGGAGTTGCAAAAGTAAATTACTGAGTAGAATAAAACCTAATTTACTTGTTTATAAGAACTTGAATATTTCAGAAGGTGGTGGGAAAGTCACTTGATTCTTTTCAGAAAGATGTGTTTAGCCTTGCTCCTAAGTTATATTAGCTTCCACCATAAGGCAATGGTCAGATAAATACATTTGTGTGCTTTTTCTTTAATGAATTGTACTTAGTTTATATCTTAACAGGCTAAAGAGCTTGGTCATTTAAATGTAGGCAACAGAAAGAAATATATTTTACATTCAGACTGTCATTCATTCAGGAATTATTAGTGAACATCATTATGTTCTTGGGACTAATATAGGTGTTCAGGCAAGGTGAGTGAAGAAAGCACATGACTCTGCCCTAATAGACTGCATTCTTACAGAGGTTTATGGACAATTGGCATCAAACCCAACAAATGACTAAAATGATTTTTTTTTTTAATGAAGCACAAGAAAGCACAAGGAGTATATATGATGGTCAGGTTAGAAGTAAAGACTTGAAGGGTATGAGGAAATATCCATGAAATACCTGGGCAATATGTTCCAGCCAGAGAGAGTCGTCCATGACAAGACCCTGAATCTGGGTGATGCCTGTCATGTTGGTCAGAAAGCAAGAATGCCAGTGTAGCTGGACAGAGCAAACCACAGGGAGAAAGCTAGTTAAACCACTGGAAAACTAGAGAAACCTAGTCTGAAAGGCACAGGGAGGGGTCAGATGCAGGACTAGGCTAGAGACAAATGAAAGGTCATTAGAGTTTAGTTTAAACCCCTGTTCCAGGGGTTTAAGTAGAGAAATAACATGGCCTGACCCATGTTGTCATAGGCCAACTCTGGCTCATGGGCTGAGTATAAACTGTTGGAAATGTAAAGAATAAAAATGTAAAGATATCTTAAAAGGCTGGACAAGGAATTTCTGTAGTTTAAACATTGAATAGCACATCTTCTTGGTCATCATAATCAAGCCATCTGTGCTTGTTCTGCATAGGAGTTGGAAGGAAAATCTAGAAGTATACAGTGATTTCCTTTGACTGCTTTAGAGAGGTATAATTTACATGCCATAAAATTCATTCATGTTAAGTGTAGAATACAACCATGTTAATATATTTACAAATTTCTACAGTCATCACCACAAGTCTAGTTTTAGAACATTTTCATCATCTTATTCCCACCATTACTTCCAAGCAACCATTAATATGCTTTCTGTGTCTTTTCTGAACATTTCATGAAAACAGAATTATACAGTATATAGTCTTTTACATGTGACTTCTTTCACTCAGCATCTTTCTATGACTTATCATATTTTAACATGCATCAGTACTAGATTCCTTCTTATTTTATTGGTGATTTTTTTATGTTGTAAATCTCATTCCTCTCCGACATTGCACATATATGCATGTTTCATAGCCTCCTTTTTTTTTTTTTAGCTAGTAGCAGTACTCTTTCTAACGCTATTTTAGCAATTCTATTTTGGGAAAAACTTGTAACATTTCTAGCTTCTCCCTTACTTTCAAACCACCAATAGTTTTGTACAGATTATTGATGTACCTAAAGACTCCTTTTGAGAGTCATCTTACAATGTTAGCTTCTCAAGCCTTTCTTGTATACAGTGGTCCCTCTGTATTCCAAGTTCCCACATTTGTGGATTCAACCAATCACAGATTGAAAATATTAGGGAAGAAATTTCTGGGACATTCCAAAAACCAAAAGTTGAAATTGCTGCATACTTGCAACTATTTGCATAGCATTTGCAAATTATTTACAACAAATTTTATAGCATTTGTATGGTATTATGTATTATAAGTAATCTAGAGATAATTTAAAGTATACATGAGGATGTGCATAAGTTATATGCAAATACTATGTCATATAAATGACTAGAATGACTATACCTTCTGTGTTCCCCGGGGGGACCTGGAACCAACCCCTGGGGATACAGAGGGATGACTGTGAAACACACATACATGAAATATATACACATATATCTATACCACACATATATAACTGAAAAATGTGTCTCTGTTAAAAAAGAAGACTATTGACTATTGCTATTTTGATGGGTAGTAGATCTAGTGGATTCTGGTGTCTATGTTTCCTTGGCATGCATTCAAAAAATGTTTGTGTAATCACCCATGAAATTCCGTCTATTTATTTTATATACTATTCAAACATGCTTTGTGATTTGGGGCTATAAATTTTGGCTACAAATAAAATAAGACTATTTCTCTTCGATGTAAGAAAAAACTTAAAAATATTTTCTTGAAGAACAGTGTTGAACCATATACAATCCCAGCTACCAACTGGCTTTAGGAAGTGTGCTTTGGCTTTCAGAAGAATGATGAGAAGCAATGTGGCTGTTTTGAAAGTTTTAACTGTAACGCACCTTTGTTTTTTTAGCATCTGTGGAATCCAACATCTGGAACGGATAGGAAAGAAGCTGAATCTCTTCGACTCCCTTTATTTCTGCATCGTGACATTTTCTACTGTGGGCTTTGGGGATGTCACTCCAGAAACGTGGTCGTCCAAGCTTTTTGTGGTTGCCATGATCTGTGTTGCTCTTGTGGTTCTCCCTATCCAGGTAAACACCACCATGTTAAATTTTATAGAAACATGCAAAGTCTTATGAAATCAAATCTTCCACATTTAATCAGAAATGCAGGGTGACTTATTAACTATGTTAACACATGTTCTTATACCATCTAGTCAGTTATTAAAATTGTCTCCAAAATGCCTTTTAAAATTATATTAGAAACATGAGTTTTTTTTCCCTTCTAGTCTCAATTGATAGCTCACATTTCATTTCTGTTTTTCAAGATGCTTTCTTTTACATATAGAGTATTTATATTAATTATCGGATTATAGGACAGTATAGTTTTTAATTATAGCATGTTTGTACAAGAAAATAAACTTATGAAACATTGATTTCTTTTGATTCTTGACACTACAATTAAAAGCCATATGTTGTCATGAATAAAAATCGATTGACTATGTTGGTCAACTAAAACAAAATCTGAAGATGATATGTAGCTAACATGAAGCATTTTGGAGAATGGATAAGGGAGCAGAGGCACAGAGATATAAATGAGACTGAAGACACACAGAGGCAACCTTCAACTTTTTCCTATAATGAATTCTGGCTGTCCATGGGTGGGCAGGTCATAAACAGGATGTGGCCAACACAAATCAAAATGTATATTCTATTATACAGCCATTTGAGAAAGTTATTGAAATATCCTTTCCATAGATGTAAAAATGATCTTTCCATTCCTATCCAATCATGCATGTCATCCTCAATGACACCCCTCCCCCATACTCTCAGCATCCCTTTAATAACAGCTACTTCCTTGGTGGCTCACTGGTAAAGAATCCGCCTGCCAATGCAGGAGACATGAGTTCAGTCCCTGAGTCTGGAAGATCCCCTGGAGAAGATGATGGCAACTCACTCCAATGTTCTTGCCTGGAAAATCCCTTGGACAGAGAAGCCTGGCAGGCTACCATCCATGGGGTTGCAAAGAGTAGGACATGACTGAGCGTGCATGCATGCATTATAACTGGAACGTAGCCTTGTGTGTGTGGTAAGGTTATCTCCCCTTGCAGACGATGTGGGCTGAAGTTGACAGAAGAATATGAGAGAAAAAAGTGAGACCTTTCTCTTTAACCAGGTGTATGCAGACTCTTAGTGCCCTGTTATGATACAATAGGAAAATCTTATTATTGTTTCCTGAGAGACATGAAGGCCTTGGGAGGGATTAGCAAGTCTGCAATTATCCTGTGAAGAGTCTTGTTGAAGGGAACACTGATCATTTCCGCCTGCCAATGCAGGAGACATGAGTTCAGTCCCTGAGTCTGGAAGATCCCCTGGAGAAGATGATGGCAACTCACTCCAATATTCTTGCCTGGAAAATCCCTTGGACAGAGAAGCCTGGCAGGCTACCATCCATGGGGTTGCAAAGAGTAGGACATGACTGACCGTGCATGCATGCATTATAACTGGAACGTAGCCTTGTGTGTGTGGTAAGGTTATCTCCCCTTGCAGACGATGTGGGCTGAAGTTGACAGGAGAATATGAGAGAAAAAAGTGAGACCTTTCTCTTTAACCAGGTGTGTGATATATATGGCTACATACTCTACTGGACAGAAAGCAGAAGTTCAGACTCTTAGTGCCCTGTTATGATACAATAGGAAAATCTCATTATTGTTTCCTGAGAGACATGAAGGCCTTGGGAGGGATTAGCAAGTCTGCAATTATCCTGTGAAGAGTCTTGTTGAAGGGAACACTGATCATTNATACTCTACTGGACAGAAAGCAGAAGTTCAGACTCTTAGTGCCCTGTTATGATACAATAGGAAAATCTCATTATTGTTTCCTGAGAGACATGAAGGCCTTGGGAGGGATTAGCAAGTCTGCAATTATCCTGTGAAGAGTCTTGTTGAAGGGAACACTGATCATTTCAATCTAAGAAAGTTTCATCTAAGAAATTGAGTTATACCCAGTAGACAATAGATAGATTGCACTGATTTTTATTTCCATGTCCAGTTCTTTTCATTCACATGTGGAAAATGCGTTACAGTTTGAACAGCTGGCCTATTTGTGGATGGAGAGACAAAAGTCAGGTGGAAACTATAGTCGGCACAGAGCTCAAACTGAAAAGCATGTTGTTCTATGTGTCAGCTCACTGAAGATTGATTTACTCATGGACTTTTTAAATGAATTCTACGCACATCCAAGACTCCAGGTAACTTTGACAGATTATACCTACTAACATTGGCAAAATCAATTAATGATAGTACAGCCTGTGTTCTGGAGGATTTTTATTTATATGCTCAAATTTAGAGAAAATGAAGAACTACAAATATAACCTGGAACATAGAAAAAAATGCTGGAGGAATACACAGCATGTTAAGTTTCCTTCTGTATCTATAACGAAAGACAGATGGAATTATATTACTGCTACAAAGAAGGGTTTTCTCTGAATTAAAATGATTGCTTTTTTCTCCTTTTGGTAGTGAATAAATGATATTTTTATGAAACAGTGAAACTTAAAATATAATAAAACAATAAAAGAATCATTTCAATATCATCTGCTCACTTGAATTTTCAGAATTTTATCAAGTGTTACTAATGGAAATTTAGAAGTCTAAAAGTTCCAATCTTCCCTTTGTTTCCTGGAGTGAAACTTGGTCTTATCTATAGTAGCAATAAATGACCAAAATTTGGGCAATATGTAATTGAGATCATGAATTCATAAAAATCTCTTCTGTCTATGCAGACTCTTCCACTTGCTGTGGTTCTGGGCCAGTGTAGACTTAGGTCACCTCCTTTGTTGCTTAATGCACTTAGTCTAGTCCAGACAGAAAAGAACTACTTGAATTTTCTGTATTTCCCCAATAAACTTATGTTAAGAGACTGGACAATCCTGAAGTCAAGACAGTACTGAGTACTTCTAATTATCTCTCTCTTAAATAATGAGAAATTTTAACATATTGCTTTTTGGGATTAAAAAATCTAACTTATAAGTGAAACTTGTATAATATATTATTTTGTTTTTGCATACATTATTTTGCATTTTTGGAGATACTCCATATTTAATGTTTTTTTTTTAATTACTCATATTAAATAATTTCAGATGCTTATTACAACCCACAAAGAAAATTCATCTGGGAGAAAATTTAATCCACCCAAAATTTGATCCCTAGTAATTAATTTTGTCTAATATCAATATGGATAAATCTTAAAACCCCCAAAATTCCCACTAGATACAGAGTGATAAAATGGTGGACTTTTGCCATAAAATTTGAATTCTTATAGATAAATTGTTTTATACCATTTTATCCCTGAGAATAATTTTCTCTTTCTCTAAACAACCATTGTTTTGAAATATTTTGATCACAAACTTTCAAATTTAATTTACTTTGTCAGTATTACCAATATTTTTGTGAACCCTTTTCCATTCAGATATTCATCAGAATATTTTCAATTTTATCAACTCATAATAATGTTACCAAATGATATAAACCATCACCACAGCTTTTTATTAAAAGTAACAAGATTGAAGTATGAGTTGATCCTTAGCACTTTTGGCTGGTATGCAGTTTATCTTTTAGAATCCATCTGAAATCCTAAGGAGGTTCCCTGGTGGCTCAGACTGTAAAAAACTGCCTGCAATGCAGGAGACGTGGGTTCGATCCCTGGTTCATGAAGATCCCCCGGAGAAGGGAATGGCAACTCGCTTCAGCATTCTTGCCTGGAGAATTCCATGCACAGGGGAGCCTGGTGGGCTACAATCCATGGCGTCAGAGTCGGACACGACTGAGTGACTAACACTTTCACACCCTGAAGTCAAAATTGAAAATTTCATAGGCTGAAATGAGTGCTGAGTGTATGCACTGATTTATCTTCTCTTCTTGGTACTAAGTAAATTGAAAAAAGTCAGGATGAACATGCTGATTTATGAGATTTTGTATGTTTGTTTGTTATGTTTATTACCATTTCATGTTATTTAACATATGCCCAGGTTTTAAATGCAAACTTTGATTTATTAGTAAGAGTTCATTTCTCTTTTATCATATTTCAAAATGTTCATAGATATTCTATTTACCTATCTAGTATAAAACAAAGCATTATTGTTTCTATCCCATTGCCCACTTTGTTTTGAGTAGGATTATTATGTGGTGATTTTGTGTCCTACTGAAATGGATGTGCAGGTCCGAAGGATCCTCCAGATTCCAATGTGGTCACAAAGAGTTATCTACCTTCAAGGTTCGGCCCTTAAAGACCAGGATCTGTTGAGAGCAAAGTAAGTATGTCCATTTCCCATCCTGTAGTGTTATAATATCTTTTCTCTCCTCCAAATTTTAGCAGTTTCAGTACTGCAGGATGTGTTTTTGAATACAAACTTTTGTTCTAGTACCATTGCTGGTCAAATGGGAAGACTAAAAATATAAAATCCGCTTATTTGTTCCTCTTTCTCAGTGCAGGGTTATCAGACCACGTCCGCACAACACATTGAGAAGTGTGGTATGGTGTGATCATCTCAGGGTGCTGGGAAATGAGCTGAGTTATCCAGATTCAGCAAGAGTAACCTCCAAATCCCTGGATACTGTTTTTATTCGACAAATAAAAACCGTGGGCTAAACACTATGTGAGATGCCAGTGCAGTGTGAGTCAGGGTTTAGATTTTAAGGAGTTTATATTATATACTGGGCAGATAACACTTGTGTTCCCTGGTGTCTGAGATGACAGAATCCTTGGGGACTGGAGAAGTCAGAAGGCTGACAGAGGTCTTACCTGCTGTCTTCTTCTCATGCAGCGGCCAGTCCACCTGGATTAAAGATGACATAGTCTTATAGCTTTGTCACAATCTTGGGGGTCACTGCTGGGTGGGAGCAGAGTGAGAGTGTGGTTGGTTAGACTGTAGACTCCAGGAATCAGGGCCTCTGCAAAACACCCTCCATAGTTTCAGAAGCCGGAAGAGATCCTTAGTGGAGGTGGCTTCACTCGATGTTTTCTCTTGTTTTGTAGCTTTTAAATATATCTTCATGTTTATCTTTGAGTTGTCCTACAGACTCTGTTAGGCTTAAAAGTCTCTTCCTTGAATTTCATAGCATAAGTGTTTTATCTTTGTTGTTTTGATTCTTTCCAGATGGCTTGAGTATGTGTGTTGGTGTGCGTGTTGGTGTGTGTTCTCCATGTTTGTGTATGTTCTGTGTTTCTTTATGCATGCCCTCTGTATGCTTGTATGTGTGTGTATGGGGGGTGGATGTGTGTGGATGATGGAAAAGAACAGAAAAGAATCCCCAAATTCCTGTCTGCTGCTTATTCCTGCAAAAGTTGACTAGATAGCTCATAACAGGAACTCTAACATTATGTTAGATTTATATATAACAGGTCAATTTAGCTGAGAATTTTCTCAATGATTTAACAACTTGTGAAACAAAAAAGTAAGTATAAACTAGCACAATATAATGAATTGTACATAATTGGAAAATTAAGCTTCTTTGAGAGTGTATCAGCACTTGTAGTGGATTGCATACTTCATATATACTGTCACTGTACGCATGACAGTTCTAGAGTAAGTCATAGTCTCCCAGTATCGCAAGTAAAACACAGCGTTAGGTGTTTGCTAACAATCTGCTCTCTATACTCATTATTCAGGAACTGCAAAGAAATAGTTGCTCAAACAGTAATATAATTTGGATCTTTATATTCATCTGTATAGATAATAAATATGCTTAATTTATTGTAATGAGTTAAGTTCTTCATATGATCTGGATGAGTAATGCCCATTTTATGTTCAATATGAATTTCTGTGATAAATGAAGCCTTTTGACTACCTAATCAACTAATCTAAGCTATTAGGATTAGCTATTGGCATCTTAGCTAGTTAATTCCTAGGATTAATGCACTTCTCAGTTAGCATAGTGGTGAAGAATCCACCTCCCAATGCAGGAGACGCAGGAGTCGTGGGTTCAACCCCTGGCTTGGGAAGATCCTCTGGAATAGGAAATGGCAACCCATTCCAGTATTCTTGCCTGGAAATCCCATAGACAGAGGAGCCTGGTGGGTTACAGTCCATGGAGTCTCAAAGAGTTGGATACGACTTCGTGACTGAACCAGGATTAACGCAACTCCATTTAGTATTAATAATATTGATGATTGTTTCTTAGCCAAATCAGTCACATATACCAGAAACATTTCTCCATAGGTATGAAAAACGAGAGTGTGAATGAGTGAGAGGTAGCAGGCTGGTAATTCTCAGAAAATTGAGTTAAGAAAGATGGTACCATTTTTATGCTCATTTCTTATCCTATGTCATGTAGAAATTTGGGATTTAATGTTAACTAACACATTCTTCAACACAATTCCCACGCAAGACAAGGAGTAAAATTCTCCAAACCATTTCCAAAGGTCAGTTGCATGAGTTTGAGTTGCTTTGTTGAAGACGATGTATAAAAAATGTTATACAATTGTCTTAATAACCATGACTTCTTCACACTTTTCCAAAACTGTTTGATTTGGTCTAATTCCATAGACTTTTATCATTTTTATCCATGGAAAATACGTTGGAGGAAAAATTTTTTTCTACTGTAATGAACCAGAAAGGCAAATAGTTCCTCATTTTAAAAATATACAATTTTATGTTTTTAGAACATTGCTTACCAAGCACTGAGGCACACTTATGGTTTATTATTATGTATAAGAAATATAGAACTTTAGCATGAAGGGAAGGGGTTTGGAACAAGATGATGATTCATCTCTGGGAAATATAAATGTACAGTAGAGTTTGGCTTATGAATACTAAATAGCTTTGTTTCCTCTCAGTTTTATTGATGCATTACAGTCAAAAAGGAATCCATCTAAACCAAAGGCTTATAAACTCCCTTAACTTATACGAAGTATATATATATGAAAAAAATATATACAATGATAAAAGAGAAAATAAAAATTGACTTTTTTTAACTTCTGTCATTATGAACTACAACCAAATCAACAATTATTTTGTTTACAAGCATGATCTGCAAAAAATCCTACTTTCATTTAAGCTTAAGGATGTTCATAGTTTATCTGTACTTTGTATGCACTGGACTGGGTGTTGGAATTCTGTTTTGCAGATGGCACATAGATATGTCAATGTGTGATCATTTTCCTTTTCTGTCTGCATTTAGGATGGATGATGCTGAGGCCTGTTTTATTCTGAGCAGCCGTTGTGAAGTGGACAGGACATCATCTGTAAGTTTCTAAAACCTCTTTCAGTAAATTGTTCTTTTTGCCTTATGAGATTTTATTATTTTTTTGTAATCTACCAACATTAAATATCGATGGCCTTAAAATGTTACTAAAGAGGAGTAAATATCTCTATCTTGCCAAAAAAATAAGAATAGTTGCATCATTGATTATATCAGACAAAAGTATTCCTGAAGTAATTTCTACTACTAATCTCTGGATTTTCTGTTGATGAAAATGAAATGAGTCATATATAAACAGAACTAGATCATTTTTAATTAAATATATCCTATGCTATGTGATTTTGTTATAATGATCTCAATTTCCTCAACTTAAAAGTGAGGCATATGGATCAGGCAGTCTGCAAAATATCAGTTGGAGCATTTCTAAAAAAGTATGCATTTGTGAAAATCCTATTCAGGATATGTAGGGTGGGAATTGGGAAGCTGTGTATTTTAAAAAGATCACCAGGTGATTTTGATGCACCTCCCAGTTTGGTAATCTCTGGCTTAGATGATCTCCATGATACATTTATGGCCTAAAATTCAATAAACTAATAATCAAATTTTGTAATTTACCAACTTATAGCTTTTTTCTATAAATACATTTTAATTTCACTACTTTAAAAAAAATTCTTTACTCTTTTATGTTGAGGATGTCCTATTAACTCCTGTGTTTTAGACCAGTGAGTCCATCTGTAGTCCTTTCTGTGGTACACAGACAGATGAGAAACATGGTGCCTTCTGTAGTGCCTGGGGAAAAGGCAAAACATGCATGGGTCTTTTAGGGACATGATTTGCACTTTTCTGGACCATCTAATAGGTGTGCTCTGTTACATTACTTTAGGACTACGGGTCCTGAATGTGGTAGGCTTTGCATTGTCCTCACCCTAATTTGCCTAAATGTTTTACTCCTTTTTAAACTAACTTGTGTGCATGTGTGCTAAGTCACTTAAATTGTGTCTGACTCTTTGTGACCCTATGGACTGTAGCCCACCAGGCTCCTCTCTCCATGGGATTCTCCAAGCAAGAATATTGGAGTGGGTTGCCATACCCTCCTCCAGGGGATCTTGCAGACCCAGGATCAAACCCTCATCTCTTATGTCTCCTGCATTGGCAGGTGGGTTCTTTACCACTAAAGAACCCAGGGAAACCCTTACACTAACTTACTCAAGCTTTATTGGAAAAGGCCCTGTTACGAGCTGAATTGTGTGCCCTGAAAATTCATATGTTGAAGACCAAACCCCCAGGACCTCATAATGTGAATTTCAGTTCAGTTCAGTCGCTCAGCCATATCCAACTCTTTGCGATCCCATGAACCACAGCACGCCAGGCCTCCCTGTCCACCGCCAACTCCTGAAGTCTACCCAACCTCATGTCTATTGAGTTGGTGATGCCATCCAAACATCTCATCCTCTGTTGTCCCCTTCTCCTCCTGCCCTCAATCATTCCCAGCATCAGGGTCTTTTCCAATGAGGTAGCCAAAGTATTGGAGTTTCAGCCTCAGGATCCGTCCTTCCAAAGAACACCCAGGGCTGATCTCCTTTAGGATGGACTGGTTGGATCTCTTTGCAGTCCAAGGGACTCTCAAGAGTCTACTCCAACACAACAGGTCAAAAGGATCAAAACTTTGGTGCTCAGGTTTCCTTATAGTCCAACTCTCACATCCATACACAACTACTGGAAAAACCATAGCCTTGACTAGATAGACCTTTGTTGGCAAAGTAAGGTCTCTGCTTTTTAATATGCTGTCTAGGTTGGTCATAACTTTTCTTCTAAGGAGTAAGCGTCTTTTAATTTCATGGCTGTGGTCACCATCTGCAGTGATTTTGGAGTTCCCCAAAATAAAGTCAGCCACTGTTTCCACTATTTCCCCATCTATTTGCCATGAAGTGATGGGACCAGATGCCATGATCTTAGTTTTCTGAATGTTGAGCTTTAAGCCAACTTTTTCACTCTCCTCTTTCACTTTCATCAAGAG